GCTGCTAACTCAGTCCTCACATTGTAGCTGGCTGCAAACTATGAAATTGATTTCCTGAATGTGAGGCGGGTCTTATTACTCTGGGTTCATGAGACACGCCGCCGTTCAGGAAATCCATTCCATAGTTTGAAGCCAACATGCATCATGGATCAGAAATATCGGCAGGTGGATCGGAAAATCCAATACTTAAATTATGCTGGTATCAGAGGCGGATACCGATACTGGATCGGATCGGCCCCATCCCTATCCACAATGCCAAATATTATTCCTCGGTATGCCATGAAATATGCAGTACAAAGCTTGGAAAAGCACTTGAATTCTTAGCTTCTTCTAACTTAATTTGCAGTCAGCACTGAAACTTCAGAAGAACCTGATTGGCTGGAATGAAAAAAATCACGGGACAAATCATGTGACACAGGTCTGTTTTGACCAGAGAAGGGGTTTCCTCCTCCGCTCTGCACATATCTTTCAGGGGGGTGTTTCTGCCCTCCTCTTTGCAAGCATCTTTCAGCTGCTGCACACAAACTGTACAGACCACTGCGCTTGGGCTGAGTTTATTATAAAATGGGAGATAACCTTATGGGCAGATCACAAATGTGCAGCATAGATTTTCTTGTGAGCAAAAAATGTGTGAGCAGAGAATGTGTGAGCAATGCACGATTGCACAGGTGCATAGCTTAGAGGGAACATAGCTCCAGAGTGGAATAAGGTACAGCCCCTCAAAAGGAGATTGGTTCCAGAGCCCATGTCGTGCCTCATGGTAAATGGACTGCACTTATATAGTACCTTTCTATCTTATTTCAAGATACTCAAAGCGCTTTACACTACAATCTGTGTCTCATTTACCCATTCATACAGCACTCTACTAGATCTCTACAAAGCTAATTGAACAAATCATTCTAAAGAGACTAATCAGTGCTTTTAGATCACATTCATACACTGATGGGACACACATCAGAGGCTTTGATGGGTTTAGTGTCTTGCCCAGAGACACTTCAGCATGTGACTGCTGGTGGATTTGAACCCCCAATTCTCACATTGGAGGACGACTGCTCTAACCACTCAGCCACAGCTGCCCCACAGGTGAGGTGAGCCCAACTATATCTAGTCAGTACCTCTCAACCTCATGCACAAGCTCAGGCTCCTTCCCTGCCAGAGAGGTCACATTCCATGTCCCAAGAGCCTGTTTTGGTAAGCCAGGGTCAGAGCGTCAAGGTCCCCATTGTCAGCCACTGCTTATGGCGTCATGCACCCGACTCATATGGCCCCTCCTGCAGGTGGTATGCACAGAGGAAGGCAAACCCATTCTACTTGTTCAGGCTGAGCCCGACCGGGTTCCATGGGTAGAGACCCAGTCACCAGGCGCTCACAGACAAGCCCCTCCCCCGGGCCTGGCTCCAGGGTGGGGGCCCTGGTAACCCACATTCGGGCAAGGGACACTGAGCTCATTGTTTGTCTATGTTATTGTACATTTTGCTCCTGCATTTACCTTCTTTTTTTCTTCTGTTTACAGTTTGAAATGTCTATTTCTAGACTTTTTTCCTGGTCTTTCTTGTGGCAGATTTACAGGACGACATACAGCCTGGTCTAGTTTCTACAATGTTTGGCAATTTGGGGGTTTTCATGTGAATGCAAATATTTCTAAAAACAGTGTTTCCAAGGTTCCAAGGTGTTTCCTTTTTGAAAGACAACATTTCTGTGTGAACGGGGCCTAAAGCTGCAGTCATACTCTAAGAGAATTTTTTTTAATTACTCTTGTTCACATAGTTGCAAGACACTATGCATGAACATTTTATACTCAGTGAGAAACTGCAATTCAGTTCAATTCAGTTTATTTATATAGCTCCAAATCACAAAGTTTTCTCAGGGCACTTTACAGGAACATTCACATACACAGAAAAGCTAATTAGTAAA